ATTATTTCATCTTTTCATCACTATCGTGTTTCCATTCCCAAAATTTAGCTTGACTTCTGTTTAGAGATTGAATCTAGTGATTTTCAGTCAGGCATTTATCTTTCATATTTGGAGAGCGCATTTTCCTAAACTTCTTGTTTCCCAGTTTTAGTGGAGACTGAGGCATTGTTAGCTGTGGTGCCTTACCTGCAGGTGAACCTTGTGGGGAAGATAACATGTGTAGCCTCTGCAAGATCGACTCCTTGCTCTCACAGGGCGCACTGTTGCCATGGCAACATTTTTTTTAACTTGTCTGCAGTCAAGCAGGAAACCTATGGCACACGGTGTGCTGCAGGCTCCCACCATGCTGGCCATGGATCGAATGTGAGCCTCACTGCAGAGCTCTTCCCTCTGCAGCCCCTGTTCCTTGGCACCACGACCTTGGCAGCAGCTGCAGGCAGGTGTGGGGTGCTGGGAGTGGGGGCACCGTGCCCTGGATGTGTGACCGTGTCCCTTGGCACTTCAGAGGGGGGTAGGCAGGGCTGTGCTTGGGCTGAGCTGAGGGAACCCAGACAGTGTCAACACGAATCAAATTCAGTTAGTAGCAAGTCATACCCTCATAAATAGCACCTTTTTTCTTTTTTTTTCCCTTTAATTTCAGAGTTCAACAGTAATGGCCAGAGCTGAAAAATTCAAGGAAGTTGAATATCTCCTTATTCATGGAACAGCAGATGGTGAGTTGCAGTTAATTAGACATTTTAGTATTACAGACAGGTTCGCAATTCTACTACTGACAAAACAAAAGCATGAAGGGGCAAGGCTGTTACATTTGCGTCAATAAAATAATACCGATTTCTGCAACTAATCTGTGTTTCAGTCAGCAGTGCTGGGGAGTCTAGTGTGTACATTGCTTTGATTTTCCCCCAGAGTATTACAGAAGCAGTTTTTGTTTACCTTTTTCCTCTTCCACTTTTCAGATAATGTTCACTTTCAGCAAGCAGCACAGATTTCCAAAGCTCTTGTTGATGCTGAAGTGGATTTTCAGGCAATGGTATGGTTCTGTTTTGTTTGTCGTTATACAAATGAGAATAATAACATAAGCCCCCTGTGGTAAGGTATAAATTCATTGCCTTCTTAAATGAAAGTTCATACAGTTGCATTTCATGTTCAGTAACTGAAATGTGAACATAAAGTCCGTATTCTATTTTTGCACAAGAAAAACTGTAAAGCAACACCATCTCATATTTGATCCTTTTTACCTAAACTTTCATTTTCTTAATTTTTTTGTGTTATCAGACAAATAGCCAGGCCCAGCCTTTGCATATACCCAAGTGCAGTGAATAGTGTCTTAGAGATAGGGTAAAAAGGAAGGTTGGCTTCAGCAAAATCCCAGATAGCCTGTCCATCACATCTGGTGTTTACTGTACTTGTAAGACAAGCAGTTATTTGCCCTTTCTTATGTTGTGTGTGGAAGTTCTCAGACTAAGGTGCAAGCTCTTCCTTTCCTACATTCTCTCAGCCCTAGAGGAGCAGTGCCAGAGAGGATGATGTATAGAAGGAGGCCAAGGGCATGGTTTTCTTTCAGCCAAACTCAAAGGACATACCGAGGGAGAGGTGAGGCACCCCTTGTAACTGAACAGTTGAATCTACCCTCCATGTGGACAAGCCACATGTTGTTTTTACACCTTCAGCATAAAAACAGAGCATGTCCCACATGCAAAGAAGGAGCTTAAGTGTCATAGCAGCTTCCTACCCCATCATGTCTTTGCCTCCATGCTGAAAGCCTCATGCTAGGATCATTTTAAACGGCTGCACAGGTTTTTATGTCTGTCATGTTTGATTTATTTCATTGAGATGTAGCTGCAACTAACACTCTCTGTATTTCTCTTTCACACAGTGGTACACTGACAAAGACCATTCCATCTCCGGTCAAGCACACAAGCATATTTATACCCACATGAGCCACTTCATAAAGCAGTGTTTCTCTCTGCACTAGCACCAGCATTGTGCTCGTTAGTGATGGTACTTCTCCAGAAAACTCTCACAAAATGTACTCTGAGCCAGTATAAATCAAGATGAGCTAAGAGTCAGCTCTTGGGATACCAGTGTACACAATGAAGTGCTAATCTTTGTAATGATTCCTGTTGCCAAGCAACTATTGCATTTTTATTGATTGTTTAATCGGGTCTTAACATCACCAGAATGATGTTGCAGACTTCTAGGAAGCATGGTACTTGCTTGAGTAATTACCTTTTGATATTTCAGTCTAAAAGAGGAACAATCCAGTTTGTGTATTAGAGAAAGGAATGATAAAAATGTCACATCACAGAATAAAAAAAAAAATAATGTTTCCATCAAAAATGAAATGAACCCTGGGGTAATTTCTGTGAAAATAATGAAGAAACATTTTTGCAGGAATTCGTAAGGCTTGATAATTATTATTTTAGAATTGTTACCAGGAATACTGCAATGTTAGTATGTGCAGAATGAAATACTTTACACTGCAGTTCCTGAAGTGAGTGTGTTTGCTCTGCAATCTCTTGTATTACAGTTCCAGAACTCTTGCAAGGCAAGCACATAACCAGCTTTCACCAAAGATTTTGAATGACACCTAATCAAACCAGTGCCACTCAATTTCTTTGTGTGCTATCATATAGTACTATGATTTTTGCTTATTTTACAGTTAAAATGGCTGCTACACTGGGAATATGCACTGCAAAATCTCCTCTGGGAACAAGAGCCCTATTTTTTTAATGTAGAAGTTGCTCATGTACTGATGAATAGGAACTGGTTCTTACACTGAGACATAAAACATTACAATGTGAACTAGCAGTCACTTACAGCAAGGGCTGGACTGTTACTCTCCTGTGAATGTGCTCTTTGGCAAAACCTTACAGCCTACCAATAAATATCTGCTTTCTTTACAGCACTCCAGGTAGGCTTCTCCATATAATCTGAGGATTAGTTTTCTTAATTTTACATAGAAAAAATGCAATCCACTTCTACTAAAAATTGTGCTGCTTTAAAATAATAAAGATACTAATTTATGAAACGAGGTGTAGCTCACATCATTGAAAATTTTGCTTCAGAAAAAGAACACTGGATTTTTTTTTAATCCCATTAATTTTGAGGATGATTTACAGTGAAGCTTCTGATTTTGTGTAATGGTATCATGTAATGGAGTGTGACATGATTATCTAACACTTAGCTTCTTGGTATTACATGCCAGCATCTGATTATGTCTGTATTGTGGGTTATTAGTGACATTAGGTGTGAATGTAAAAGTACTCATGCAGACAGATAAAGCATGGGGAAGAATGTTAAGGCACTTTGTGCAGCTTGTCCTTAAATGAGAAAGTCTCAAGTAGAAAATCAGATTTTGTTTTCACAAACTAACAATTCCTTGACTCAGAAAATAAGATGGGTGGTTTTGTTCTGTTTGTTGGCATTTTTTTGAAGCACATTGGAGCTGGGTTTTACAAATACCATCTTGGGTTCAAGGGAATAGTAGCTCTAATCTAGACTGGCACCACTGTTTAAATTCTACAGGATTACAGGCTGTCAGTTATCTTCAAGAGGTTTTATCATCACATCCCTCATTCTTTTGAGTCAAGGCAAAGAAACTTATATCAGTATAAGGTAGATCCCAGCAATAGAGACAGGTTATAAGAAAAGATTATCATTATGATATGGCTTGTGTATGCAATGGTAAATAATTAGGATTTCTTTTAATGTTATCACTCGCACTGTCATAGAAGCAAAAAAAAGTGTTTCTGTAATCCAAAAAACTACTTTCACCAGGCTCTCATTAGGTAAGTGCAAGAATTAGTATAATTAAAGAAACATTTTAAAAAAAACAGTGAAACTAAAAATTATATGGTCTTTCATTAAGATGCAATTCTTTACATCTGACCTACATGATTCTAGCATCTCACTGGCAAACTCTTCTGTACTCTCTATCCCTCATCCCCTTTTAACTGTCTTACCTGCAAGGCATTGCATAATGCAATGCTAATTATCTTACTTTGTCTGGAAAGCAGCTTCTAAGATATGCTGCTAATAGACAATGATACAACTTACAAAACAAAAGAAAACTTCATTTCTATAGTAAGTGTCCTAATTAACATCAATTCAGTGTCTAATTTTTCACTGTGGTAGAACTCCCTCAGCTCCAAAAATAACAGGATGATAGAGCTGCCTCAGGGAACTGACAACTTGCTTGAACTGCAGGAGCACAGGTAACTAAAAGTGAGGCCACAGAAAATATCTAGCTCGTTTCATTAATGTCCAAAGCTAGAAGTCAGTTGTGCCTGAATTATTGCAACATGCTAGTCAGTTGCACATCTACCGTTTATGGGTTTTCTCTGTATTTATTTCTTGTGTGAAAAGGATGTTTAAGTTTGTTGCACAATACACTTCGTGTAAAATCCTAAGAGAAGCAGCGGAATCTTGAGGTGTCACTGCTACCATTCTTAGGCTAGGAGACTTCTAGTCTTTGGTTTAATAATTGGTGAAGAAGCTCAGAAGGGATTTAGTGAGATGGAGTCAATACTGTATGTAGTACTGCGATTCATGGCCTTAAATTTTTCAGTAGCAGAAATTTAGGATTCTGAGAAGAACAGAAACATTTTAAATTGTATGACCTTACCTACTGATCTCTAAAAAGATCCAACTACTCCTGCTTTGTCTGCATCATGTCTCTCAGGAGGAAAGGGGACCAACTCTTGAGTAGTAAATTGGAGCTTTGTTCCCATTCGCTTCCTGGGACAGTGAGCTCTGAGCTGTCCCCAGTGTCACACTTACTGTGCTTAGTCAGACCCAGTACATCACCACCAGCTCCACCCAGGGAGCAACACTCACAGCCTTGCACGGTTCTGTGAGATTGCACTTGGAAAGGGAGCCATGCTGGGCTCTACCACTCATTAATTTGTGAGGCCTGTTCAGGTCAGGTAGGCGTTTCAGATATTGCATGGTATTGTAAACCTCTTCTGGGTTTTGCAGTATAAAAATAAAATTGAAAATTAGTTAGGATAAATATTTATTTTCACATAACATATCTTAATTGTGAAAAACACAATAGTCTATTCACATGTACACATAAACTTTTGTAATAAATTACATCCAAGAAGTTGAGTAATTTTGAGCAGGAATATGAAATTAGAAGTAAATATAGCACTACATCTGCTTTACATTGTGTGTGATTTCAGAACATTAAGATTAACATTGGAAAAGCACTTAAATTCACGCAAAACCAGAGTGTTTTAAAATAAAACCACTCTGAAATACTGAACAGAAATACAGAATGCCATTGAATACACTGATTTCTTAATATTCTAAGAGTTGGTCAAGTGAAGCTAATACATTTTGATTGTATACATTATCTGTAACAAAGTCAGCAACATGTTAAAACACCATCAGGCTGCTTTCAGGACAAACCAGTATTGAGCCTCTATACTAACCTTAAAACAATTGGAATCTTACAATTTTATCATCAAGTACACAAAACAAAGCATTTAACCTTAATGCATCAGCATTTTTTTCCTAAATTTACATATACAAAACATTGAATTAGGTGTAAATTCTTCTTTGCGTCCATTAGATTTTTTTGTTTTCTCCATAAAAATGGCTTTTAATGGGCTTGGATAATGCTAAGATAAATTTAGAACAGTGACCCTATTAAGTTTGCAGCAAAATGCAATTATTTATGGCTAAAGTATTAAAACATACACACTCACACACACAAAAACATTGGAATACTTTAAATGTGCTGAATGGGAAAACTTGTTCATGAGGTGTATAGAAAATTTGCATATTTGGGAAAGCTGGGGAATGTTAGAGCCCTATGGATGAGTTCTTACGAAGATTGCAAGACTACAATTCTTTTTTTTAGGATTCAAAGTTACAGCATAATACTGAGAGTTAGCTTTCATTTTAATAATTTAAAAATTTATCTTAAAAAATTTAAAAATCAGTGAATTCCAAATAACACAATAAAACTTCAGCTCTACATCCCTATTCATTCAACACCTAATCTCGCAGTCTTTTACACAAAAGAACAGCTTGAAGGATCAGGCAGTAACAAAATCCATTACAAAAAATGTAATAGCCTTAAAGCCACATTTTACTTTGCAATGTTGTTTTTATCCTTTAATCAGTATGTACTTGATGGAATAATAAAGAGCTGTAACAAAACAACAGCAGGATACCCATTTAATTATTATACACAATCTCTGAAACTAAGAGGTTTACAGTTGTTAGTGGAGAGAAGACAATATTAATATGTCCTTTATGTGGCTGAATTTTAGGCAATAAAAAGGAAGATCATTGGGCAGGTGATAAAACTGCATGTGGGATATAGTTTGTATCTACAAAAATTTCCCTATTATAAAGTAATGGATTGATTAATGACAAAATGCATTTGTTTGGCCCACCATGGCAACATTCATACAATACAAGATAAGATACCGTAATCACAAATCGCATTTTAAGAAATACTGTACCCATGTTTCACATCAAAGGATGTGGTGGTGTTCTTTAGCTAAGGTGAGAAAATGCTTTAATATATAATTTTATATATATATATATATTTATATATATATAGGACTATGTTCCAGTTACATACAAATTTTAATATTAAATACACTGTATTAAATCAAGGAAAACTTCACAAATACAGAATCTGACCCTGCAATTCACATTGCAAAACTGAATCCATGACTTCAAATGGACGGATTAAGGAGGAAAGTATTATCCTTGTTAGTTTGTTCACAGGGTCAGATCACTTGTTATTTTATAAACTTCTTAATGTTCGCTCATCAATTTGGGTCTCTTGAAATCATTTACTAGTTAGGTGATTAAAAAAAAAAAATTGGAACAAGGGTTTTCAAGTTCATCTTGAATCAAGATTATTAAGTATTCTCACACAGAAAAAGTAGCAAAATACAGTACAAACCTATTAAGAGGAAAGTTGAATTTGAAAGAAAATTTGCTTCTTACATTTCTGATACAAGTACTGATTGATAAATGGCCAAGATCAGCAACGAACACAAAGATTTTTTGCATTGGCTACTGCAGACATTTACATTGATACTAGACAAGGTAGACAAGGTGGAATGAGACAAGTATTGCACTACATTACCTGTGCTAGTTTGAGATGAAAGACAAAAGTTACAAGGTAAATAATTTATATTTAGTGGTTGTGGCACTCCTTTAATTCGTTTGCAAAAAATTACTTGAAGAGCAAGTCATAGACAAGTTTCCCGGTCAACACCTTTCCCTGAGTCAGCTTTCTTCTCTTTTCTGATTTCAGCACTAGGAAATGAAAGGGGAAACAAAAAAAATAGAGTTACGGTAGCACTATCACACACACAACTATATATATAATCTACCTGAAAACCAACATTGCACAGATACTTTATTTTTCATGCTTCATGGCACAAACTGGGAAAGCAGGTGAAAATTTCTGTGCTGAATGGTGTAGAAGACATCAGGCAGCGTTTTAGTGACAAGGTAGGTAAAGAACTTAAGATGTACAGACAGCCAGCATGCAAGCAAAGATAGCCACTTATTTTTACTTTTTTGGCAAATACAACTTAATTTACTAAATAATGGTAATGGTACAGTTCTCAGACAATACCAGGGCATTCTTAAATGGAACAAACAAGAGGTCACAGTTAGTATTTCTTGTCTCTAAAATGTATTCTCTTGTTCAACTGTACATTTAGGAGGAATGCTTCTGAACTAGAGTGGTGCAAGCCAATATCGAACAAATATTTGGCTTTCAGTCTTGATTGGGGAGAGCAGAAGTCTGGGGAGGATGGGGAGAGAAAATATTCCCCATGTGGAGTATAATACATACTTCCTCATGTATACATTATAAGGAAATAAAAAAAAAGCCTGAAAGATCAGACACAAGCTGTATCATTCAGAACACTAAACCAGAGTTCAAATTTTGATTCAGCTTTTTTTTCTCTCCAGTTAAAACAATGTTGATTTGCCTACAGAAAGCAATATACGTGCAAAGCAGATGATTTTTTGTGTGTGTGAGTGTCCTAATTTACAACAGCGTAAATAAATATAAAGTCATGTTCTTCCAATGAGTCTCAATCACAGCATGAAAATGCAAAGAGGCTTCCACAACACAGGCAAATCAAGCCTTCAACAAAGAGTGGCAGGGTATCTAAAGAAAACCAGATGGTTCTGAGAACAAACCTGTAGCAAGCACATAACCTACCAGGTTTCATGGGAATAATTCCTTAACTAGAATGAATGAGAAATAGGCTGAGTTACGCAAGGCTTAAAGAAAGCAAGATCAATTCTCAAATTCTTACGGCGATTCATGCACAATTCTACAATCATTTGACATTTTTCTTCACGTAAAAATTGCTTTAAGGATACAATTCAGTTCAGCCAAAGCTTACTTCTATGCCTATGGCAGCTTCCAGAGGTGTTAATGGAAATAGCTAAAGAATACCAACTTCTGCCACTTCAACTGCCAAATCTGTCACCTTCTGTAGAACAGTGATAGAATTGGGGGTACGTTACACTTTCTGCACACAAAGGGTATGCAAACAAATTCCGGGGGGGGTGAATTGCAAGTGCAGCAGTACAGCAGGCAGGGAGTTACCTGTGCTTAGTAAAAGCAAACACTGAGGTGTTGTGTGCCTTACAGTCTACAATATTTCCACGTTTTAGGTGCCTCTGTGATACCAGGAAAGTCTTCCTTCTATTTAGGATTCACATCTCTGAGCAGCTCCTGCAGATGTGGGCTTTAATGCCTTGAGAAATTTGAAAAAAAAAGGACAAGTCCAGTCTTTTTCCAGTAAAACACGTCACTGGTGGATCTGTAAAGGGGTTGGAGCTCTCTTCCTCCCTGCCAAGGGAGTAGCCTAACACGCTGAGCAGGAAGGTCTGGGATGTGGGATTTTCATACCTTCAGGTGCAAAAGGAAACTCACTCATATCATCTACAAAGATGCCTCTTTCTCCAATACTTTAAAAGATCAGCTAAAACCAGTCTATCTCCTGTCCATGGTCAGATCTGCGTATGCTTTGAAATTGCTCTCTGAAGGGCTTAATACTGTGAGCAAAGACAGAGGAATGTTTATTTACATGTACCAAAGAGGGCTGTGCTTCAGATAAGTGCCTTGGTGTTCCATTCTACCAAGAAAGGCTCAAAGGCAGACCTTCACGTTCCTGAGAATTTCAATAATAAACAAAGGTTGGAAAATTGTAAAGTTCAGGTGCCTCTATGGATAGGCAACTTGACTGAATCCCTCGTAATTCTGTCTCTAGCCAGGTAAAAGCATTCAGGAGCCTGGGATGTAAGAGCTCTCACACTATGCCACTTCAGGGCCAGGGCACATCTTGTGATAGAAATTATCCATGCATCAGATTGCGAAGTCATTTGTATAAACCCTTCCTAAAATCTCTTTTTGTAGATGATCTTAGTTTATAATTGGCCAAGTCAAGTCAACATTTAATTACTATGAGTAACTTCTTGTTAACTTGTCAATGCCTTGCATAATAGGCATTACATAAAATCATAGTATACTATCATAATTTAATTATCCCCATTTTATAATATTTTGAGATATAAGGAAGCAGAACTGACAGCAGAAAGGGAATACTAAATGTTATGTAGTTGAACTTCACAAAGTATCAGTAAAATCTATTTCAAAATGAGATTTTTTCCCCCTCTATGATAAGGTACCCTTCACTGCAGAAATTGTTAATCTAATACTGCTGATCTTGATCATTTACAAAATTTATCCTTACAGCTGCTACCATTCCAAGAGGGCTTTTTTCCTCACTAATTATCTAGGATTGAATTATATCATCATTTAATGGTACATGCATTATGTTCTATAATATTTTTGTAGTTCTATCCCTAATATGACTTAAGACTAAAGTTGCTTATGGCTTTGCTTATCAGAAAAAAAGTCTTTCAGGGTTAAAGCTCGTTGAATCTACTCCTCTCTCAGAACCTGAGACAAGCTAGAGCACCTGAAAATGCAGGATTTCAGAGTCTTTAAGGTTGTTTGTTTATAATAGGGCACTAATATCTAAAACCAGAAAAATCCTTTCTCCTGAGTCTTCATTTTCAAGAGCAAAGATACAAGAAAATTAGATCTTTAGAAAATTATTTTCTATTTCATTAGTTTCTATTTCACTGCAGTTTAAAGGGAAGATCTCTTATTTGAGCCACAATCTATGTGGATGCTCTTTGTTCAGAGGTTTATGTTTATATCATCTGTTGTACCACCAGAGAAAGCAACATCCACCAAGAAAATTAAAACTCCTGTGTACCCAGGGGCTGTGAATATACCACATCAGGTTCTTCTCTTTCTCCAGGCTTTCCCAGCCTGGACAGCAGAGGCACTTGGCATATGAAAACCCTGCAGCAGATCCTCCTCCCATGCACCACACTGATTTCAGTGATCCTTTTCAGTCCATGTGTAGGGTGGAAGGCAAACAAGAACTAGGCTATTTTGACTCTGAGTGAAATATTATCAAAATGACCACATTAGTGGGCTGCTCCATGGGTGTCTGAAATGAAGGTTCTCTGGTCATCAACTGCTCAGCCTTGTCTGTGCAGTACAGGGAAAGGAACAACTCTGAAAGGCAGCATGCCATTTTGGGGTAACAAAATTTAAAAAACACTATCAGTACAAGTGTTCTCTTACTGCATCTGTTCACCTCGAAACAACGACTAGCTGTTTCAAACATGGGCTTTTGAAAAGGATATTTAGAAATGGGCAGAATATAATTCTGCATTTTAGAAAAGATGACTAGGAATAAATGGAGCATTTGATACACTACATTTGATACATTTGATACACTACACTATTTAAATACACTATTTTAAATACAGACTAAATTTCAAAATCCAGTATTTGGGACTTTAATGAAGACATTTTACATTCTTATTTGAAATTTTTCCTCATCTTGTCTCCCCAAAAACTCCACAAAGTCAACTCATTTGTGTTCCAAGGTGACACCATTTTGAATGGGAAGACACAATCAAGGAAAAGGTTGGGGTTGGGGTCTTACCTTGGGGGAATCAGCTTCTAGAGTGATTAGGAAGGGAAGCTTATGACAGAAGTGTGGTACAAAACAATTAAATAGAAAATAGTTACATTTTAAATTTATGGAAGCAGCGGAAAAGATTGTCTTAGAAAATCACACTGTGCTTGAATTTAATATTTTCTTATTCCTGTCGTAACTCTGTAGCACAGATAAAATAATGTGTCTTCATTTTACTGGACTAAATTCTAAAATTATTTAACTGTTTTGAGTACAAGTGAAGTAGGCAGAAAAGTGTAAAGAAATAATGCAATCATAAAATTATTTTCACTCCAAATATTATTAGATTGCATTCAGAGTAGTGGGTTCTTCATACAGCTATTTCCAGGGCACTGATGATCACTTCTTTTTCAAGAGGAAAGTACAAAAGCAAGCAGAACAAATGCAATATCCAGGTGGAGGCTGGTGGTTCATTACACAAGCATCACGCATGCTCAGCTTCATTTTCCACTGGAGCATAACTAAGTACCATGCAAATATTTGTGATTTATGTTTTTAAATAAATAGTGAATTTGTGTTTTGAGCTCAGAATATTACGACTGGACATAAGAAATAAAACTGCAAAATGCTAAAAATCTTTCTAATCCCTAGTAAAATATTATAATATTGGTTGGACATCAATATATAAAGTATAATGAAGTTTAAAAAAATTAAGACCTTTTAGAAGGAAAGCTTGACTCCTTATCTTTTGCATTCTCTGAGGATATCAACAATGTCTTCCACACAGCAGTTTTTGCCATTTCATCAGAAATGTTTATCACAGATGGGTCATCTCTAGATAAGAATGAAAGTAAATACACAATAAAACAATCAGCAATCAGTCTTGTTACTTATTAACTCAATAAAAGTCCTTGAAAACTGATGGTGATGACAGTAAGTGCAGTGTAAGTTAAGAGACTATGCTGAACTTCAGAAGTCCTGAACAATTACTTAAATACTCTCTCAGAACATCTTAGCACTTTTAAAGTATTTTCTTCCTCCAAAAGCAATTAATCACGGTAACATCAATAAAATTTATTGTGTCATTACCAAATAATAAAGAAGAGAAAAATAAAGAAGTGTGAAATTAACTATTGCCCAAGATTTCATAGCATGAAAGCGGCATCCCTGGATTAAACACGATCCCAAAAGGTCCTACTTATGCTCTGAGACTCCAACTACTTTTAAAACTATTTTAAAAGCAATCAAAAGCCTTAACAAAATAAAATATTTAAGAGTGCTTAAATATTTTTGATATCTAATTTAATAGAGCTAATAAAAATGCCCAAATTAAACAAATCAGTAGTATTAAGTGGCCCTTTGTAGCCATTATGCTCTTTTGCTTTACCTGGACTGCTCCAAACATGTATTTATACACTTCAGTGTTTTAAGGGGTTGCCTGTACATTATTCCTGACTTCATGGTTACTTGGCATTCAGTAAGCCCTCAGTAAACTTGCTCTTTGTTTTGGGGAACCACTTTAATCACCAGCATCTTGACTCTTGTTTTTAGCTGCAGGACTGCAATCCTTACAGTACAGAGTCAGGTATTACCCAGGCAACTCTACCAGTGTCAACACACAATGGAGACCAACAGAGATCACACTGCAAGATAATTAAGCTACATATTGCTAATATAAATTACAACAAGAAGGTATGGACAAAACAAGAAAAGAACCAGACCATTAGTAGTGTGATGAGTCAAAAGGAATAGGCTGGGATTTTTCAGAGACACAGTTACAAATCTCCTGATTTGCATTAGGAGACATTATGGTCACTTTGTGTTAAAATATTAGAGAGAAGGCCACTCAAAGATGATGTTCCTATGAACTCACATTCATGCAGAGGTTACTGTCACCAGATATTTCAAATCTTTTATTAAGAATTTATTTCTGAAAACTTTAAATTATATTCATTCCTTATGGGCTGGCATGAATATCTATAACATAGATATTCATGCTTTTTTCAGTTTGTGTCAACCCTGCATTATGCTTTATGTACTCGGGACAGCTCCTGATTCCCTCATTATCTTACATAACACGATTGAATCAGAATGTTTTACAGTGTAATATTGTAAGAACCTAGTTTTTCTGCAGCATTTTCAAAATCCTTCCTGGATCCCTGCTTGCATCAGGGTGAAGGGTTTGACCTGTTCTACATCTTCCTTTTGCACTGTGCATGTCAGAAGCCAAAGTTCATTGTGAACACTCTAATCCTGCAGTGCAGTCCAATGGAAGATTTCCAACTAGTGTGTCTTTTTATTAGGGAATGTGAGATCGTGTGGAAACACTAGAAAAGAGCTAACCTTGTTAAATGCTGCAGTGTATGGTTCAGTTCATCTATTTGTACCAAACAAACATTCTCCTGATATTCAGTAAGAATTATGAATAAATATTGTTATGGCATTTATTTAATTGCAACTCACCTAAAAGAGGAAAGGTATATTTTACCTGTAATGTCCTTCTAGTGGTAACTGAACAGTCCCTTCCTCTTCCATTGCTAACATACTTTGCTCTTCCTGGAACAAAGGAATTTAGACATGAGACAGGATATGAAATAGTGAAAGGTAAAATTTCTGTACTTTAATCATCTTTCCATTTTCTTCAAGTATTTATTTGAAGTTCTTAAAGTGAGATACTTTTCAACTTTTACTTAAATAGTTGATATTTAAAACCTTCTATTTTAAAAGTTGTATCTTCACTTAATGGTATTTTCCAATGCCAAATAGAGCATTGTTTTATAACAATAAAGAGAATTATTAACAGTGAGTGAACAACTATCTGATTAATTTTAAATAACCCTGATAACAGGATATACGCATTGATTTTACATGCAAAAATTAGGGAAGATGATTTAAGTTTGCACACACAGTTTTAATATTGATAATACTGATTTTAATACTGATTTTTCACTGAAAGGTAGTGAAACAAGAGACCCAAAATTAGTTTTCACTGGAAGAGAATTAGGAGATAAATCTACCAAAAATCCCCTATGTAAATTACAAATTCAGCAAATCTGCTTTAGGGAGAGGGAGAAGAATAGAGCAGCTCTCAAGTGCCATGTCCTACTTGCAAGAACAAAGGAAAACAACCTCCAGAAGAGGATTCCCAATGTCCACACCCCTGGTCAGGATAAGCACAGGTAGGAGGTTAAAAAGCCTTGGCAGGAAGGTGACCATCAAACCCTGCTCTAAATTGTTGCAGTGTGTGTGAGCGCAACAGACACCCAGAGACCTCCACAGCTTCCTTCCCTTTAACAGTTTCCCTTTCTAACAGTTTTCACCACTGCCTGTCTGAAAGCAAGGGTTGCCTAAAAAAGAGAGTTTATCATTTTCTGGCAGATCACCAAAGGCCCACGTGCATCACAAACACTGGTTTTTGTTATCAGCAGCAAGAGCCAGTACAATTTTCCAAAATAGTAGAACTTAAGTTCTCTCTGCTCAGAAATTTGTTTCTTCAATGTTTCATTATTGTAACTATTTCAAAAGTCACAATTTTTTTTTCTTCAAATGTGAACGTTCTTTGTTCATTCTTGTCTCAGAAAGACTTAATTGATTAACATCGAAGTGGCTTCCAAAGGAGGTCTGTAAGGCACGTATCATATCCACTATAAATGTACAAAGCCCTGAAGAAAACATGGCCTAAAAATATAAAAACAACTTAAGTGATGAAATTAGGAACCAATCAAGTAAGTTTCAGATCCTGTCAACTACATTTCTGAATATTCTTGTGGGTAGAATACTTCTATTTTTAAAAGCTGTGTGATAGCAACTCTCCAATTAATTCCTTAGGCTACATGTCAGAAGTTTTTTATTACTAGTTAATTTTGTCATTTCCAGGCTTCACAGCTTCATAAGTTTTTGACAGTTGAACAGTTTTAATAATAGCTCTAAATATTTAGAAATGCCAAAATATGTAAAAATAACCTCTCAAAATAGACAGTGAATGAAATAAAGTAACACCAGTAGATTTTCCCAGTTTTGTTTTCTGATGCCATCCTATCAAGCAAGGGAAGGAAAGTGACATATAAGCAAAACACAAGTATAACAAGGAATTCTTTCCAATAACCAGACCCACATGAAGAGAGCTACCTTGGTTACTTCTGGTTACTCTGAATTGTGATGACAACAGACACCGTGATGAAACATCTCTCTGGTCTGCTCTGATTCAAGGCAGAAAACAATGACTCACATATTTTAATTTCAGCCTGGTAGTTTTACAGGCACATACTAAATAGTAAATAATCATCTGGATTTTTTCTATTATAGGTAAAATCTTTTCCCCAAAATATATTCCATGACAATATGTTGAATGTGTCAAGGAAATCAAAGGTAAGAGTTTACCAGGTTACAGAGGCAGGGAGTTGTCAAAGGTTACAGAAGAATCAATCCTAAAGGCAGAGTAATCTAGTTTGTGTAGTTACCCATTATTAGCTAATGTTCTGTTTCTGCAAATAAAGCTACTAATGGGAACCCTTAACACACACATTTCACTGGTCTTGGATTATATCTCAGGGCATTCTTAAGGATAATTTTTAAGTTGGTAAGGAATTACCTGAAAAGCATATTCTTTAAAATAGATGAGGAGTCCAGATCTGAAACAGCCACCTGGGTGGTAATGCCACAGGATGTGAGTTTGAGCATTTGGTTAACGGGGTTAGCAGGGTCACTTTTCATTACAAAGTGAATTCACTTTTCATTACAAAGTGAATTGTTTCTGCAGGAGCAGAAGGACAACTCTGGCCCAGAGTGTAACTGGGACACTGCACAGGGTCATGGCATTGCTGAGAAAGGGCACAGAGTGATGTCTGGTGCCCTGTGTAAGGCTCAGAGGCAGCTGGGACATCCACACACCTTAAAATCTGCACTTCCTTGCCTAGCATCTCCTGCAGGGATGAGACCCAGCCCAGTGCAGCATCTGGGATCTGAGGGCTTTCCTACAGGCATGGTTTCATCTCTGCACACCATCTGAGTGGGTCTCAGAAGCAATCCCCAGGAGTACTGTGGATAATATTTTATATGACAGTATGGCAGCCTAAGAATCTATATCCTCACCTAAGCCTATCAGATTTGTAACCTTAAAAGCACTTATGCAAAATATGACAATGTTACACTTAGATACTGCCAACAAGTCTGCTTGGTACATGGAATGTGCCTTACAGAATTTTCTCTAAATGTCTGAAGGAGAAATTGATAAATTGCTACAGACAAAGAAACCTGAAACCATGACCCACCTCTTTCTCAGCATCTTCCAGTTTCTTTTTCTTGCTCTCAGGCATCAGATCATCTAACCAGCTGAGCTCCCGCTTGGTAAAGAAGAAATCCATGAGTTTTCGGACAAATACTAAAGCTAGGACCTGAAAAGATATTAATTTAAAGAATTAGGAAATTAAACAAGTAAAACAGACAAATAGACTTGTAGAGGAATTCTTTCAAAAGTGACCAGTTTGTAGCGAGAATTTTATCCTTTAGTTTGAATAAGCTAACAGCTGCTGTTTCTTTGTTCAAATGAAGTATGGTTTGAAGCATAACAATCACTGAGGTCAGTAAATATTTTCTATTATCATCAGAGAAATCCCTTAAGCAGCAGACCACCATTATTTATGCCAAGACACAGAACTGTTAGGCTCCTCAGTTCAATAAGCAATCTTCCTTAATGAGTGAATGTTCTTTCTGTAACAGGATTTAGTAATATTCCTTAAATAAAAAATGTCAAATAAATGTTAGTATTTTTTCTCTAAGAGAACATTTTTCCCTAAGAGAATATAAGTTGGGATATCCACACACAAGATTCGAAGCAGAGGTTGAATGTCAAATTTTTCACTACTTAATACATTACAAATTTTCCTTGAACACAGAATCAAAGCAATATTATAATTAACTGTCCACAATTATATTTTTCTGCAATAATAATTATCCACAAGTGAAAATAATTAGGGATTTTTAGAGGAAATAAAAAAATTCATACCATCATAGGAAAGACAATGGCAGCTCTTGAAACCTTTATAATCCAGAGAAGTACAAGACAACTCAGCTGAATTATAGTGAAGAGATGGACCTTTCTAAGAGGAACATGCCTTAGATAAATAAAATCTGGCTGGTGCTTTGCAGGCATCCAGAATAACTTTATCCTGTCAAAAAGCTGAAAGAGAAAATTTTACACGTTTGGATCAAAATGAGGTGTAGGATCATCTATGCTGGCATTCACACACTGCCTAAGAGATCCTGAATATCCAAAGAATCTGGCTTGTTATTCTAACGGCAAAAACTACATCATTTCAGCAGCACAGAGAGTCCCTCAGTAACAACCATAAGCCTTTAATCTAGACTAGTCCAGCAGTGCAAAGGACTTGTCTTCGCCTCACTGAGCACCAGAGTACGGACGAGAAACGTGTCACTAAGCAGAGTTTAATCACTTGGTTAGTCATCATTCAGTGCCTTCCATTTGAATACACATGTGCCTCCCCAGGTTGTATTGCAGCTGTGCTGAGACTCTGAACTCTGCTGAATTACATCCCATCCATTCTATGCTGCAGGAAATACCCTGTTCATTGGATGTTTCACACGTTGTCACTACACTGGATGTTACACACAAACAAGGTGGTTAATTTGAAATTGTGAACTCTTAACATCAGGCAAAGTCAGACTCCAGAATGGTCTTGAATCAATTATGATTCCCACTGAATGGAAGCTGGTTGATCCTGTTGGGTATGTGCACTATCACACCTCTTTCCTAATACATCCTAGATTCCTTTGTCAACCACTGAGCTCTGCCTCCTTTACCACATAAAAAGCTGCTCATGGAGGGACCTCTGCAGTCTTTTATTTCCTGCAAATGAACAATTTTCTTTTACTTCACCAGACATTTTATCCCAGGCTGTTTCCTTCTCCATGTTTCACTTTATTCACAAAACCAGAAACAGAAAATGAAAAAGAAAAAAAGAGGAATGAATGCCAGAAAGCTGCTAGGAATGTATGTGAGAGGTTCCTATTTTTCAGGCCTATTTGGCTCCATACTGACCTGAGACATTTATGTCATGGCACAGTGATTATGGTGGTACACCAATTCTTCCTGCATGGATGAGACATACTATATTCACACAGCCTTCAGCAATGTCAAGTTTTGGAAATTTTTATTGAGCATGTACAAACTGCATTTTTTTAAAGGCTTTTAATTTAGTCAGATTTGAGTATATTCCTTTTTCACAGAAACAGCAAAAAGCACATCCTCCCACAAAAGCCATCTTATCAAATCTCTATTCCTTATCCCAGCATGGGGGAGGAAGATAAGGAGGGGGATGCTATCACTTTTCCAAGTAAAGATAGCCAGATTTCAGCATGTCTTAAAAACACTCCTCAATAGTGTAGTGTACTTTCTCATACCCCTGTTCTGAGAAACAGCTGAACCATATTAAATTGAAATTATTTAAACCTCAGTAAAAGCCAAACTACACTTCTGAGAATATCAACCCAAAGGATAAGAGATAGGCAAAGTTATAAAAGAAGAGTCTCTGAATAGAGACCACCAGTCAAAAAAAATAAAATCCCAGTTTTGCCTATAAATGGAGGTAAGTTGCAATCAAATGTAATGAAAAAAATCAGAAATTTTCTTTGCTTTTTCTATTTGACCTTTTGCACCATGTAACTTGTGTTTTCACTGTGTGATTTCTCAATTGTGTCACAAGGTGTGCTGATGCCTCGTGGGCTATAAGATTTGACACTCTGCCATTCCATGCTGCAGTCAGCCAGGAGAGAGAGAGCACAGCACCACCCCAGCCTGAGTGCTGGAATGCCAACTTCTGCCAGCTACTCCTCCCTGAGGCCACTGCAGGAATCCTGCCCTTCCACTAGACTCGACCCTTCACCCTGAAGTGCTGTGGCTTGAGAGCTCCCCCTCCCTGCCTGGAGTGTTCATCTGCACAGGGAAGACCTTCAAAATTTCACTTGTGTTAGTTTTAGGGCAAGCTAGCCCTAAAGGCAAAGTTCAAGATAAGGGTAGCCCTGCAAAGGAACTTGAAAAGGCAGCATGCAAGCAAGAGAATGGGCAGGCAGCAGAGAGGGAAGAGCCCCTGATAGTTATTACTCAGTTTTTAGGCTCTGCAAGATTGTCTTGATAACAAGAGAGAACAGAAAAATCAGCAGCCAAAAAATAGGAGAAAAAAATGGAGCACATGGCCTAAAGGGAATACTCTATTTAGAGAGAATCCCTTTTCCTTTTAAGCAGTCACTTTCAAAAATTTAAGGTTGGCAACATTCCTTTAAGATTATACACAAAAGCTAATACAATAATATAAGAAGAACGGCAATATTTTTTATAGAAAGCATCATCAATAACACACTCATCATAAATCCATTTTACCTGAATTCCCTTTAGAGATGAAGCACCCATGTAAAGAAACACTCCATAAAGCACTGGCATAGGAATAAACTGCACAAACAAGGAGAGAAAGAGAAGAGCATATTAAACACTACTTAACAATTTTAAACGCTTCTAGAAAGACATTCAAAACAGTTGAAATACAAAGTGCCATATGCCTGCATTAATCAGACAAGTTGTAAATTCAGAGTCACTCAATTATAAATTAATAATGTTTCTCAGAGCATAAAGCAAAAGAAGAATCTGGCTCTGTAGTTTTATTTTCCTCTCATGGCCAGTTATTACAATATACTTAATTCCCTATTAATACAATTAACAGAACTACACAAAAAAAATTAAGGCCTTAATTTATACTTAAATTCTTTGCTTTAAAGACAGCTCAGAAAAATGTTCAAGAGACATAAAATACTTCTCACTGCTAAAAATAATATTTTGTGCTATAAACATTTAGAAATCGGTGAATGATTCCATGGAATGATTTTTAAAGAGACAATTTAAATGTTCAGGTTCACAACATAAACTGTGTAGGCAAATGGGTATGTCCACGGAATCTGTTAGAAATATTAAATACACAAAATGCATGCTCTGTGTTTTCAAAGTGAAGGCTTTATGATATACTCAATAAAATACTGCTGGGAAGTACAATTTCTAAGGACTTATTGCCCTCACTGCCACAATATTCAAGACTAAGTTCTGGTTTTATTAAAGCCAGTGCCAAAAATCTCATTGATTTCACAGAGGCCAGATAATTCTTTTAAAAGAATTATATTACATGTATATAGGGTATTATATATGACTGTAATTAGAGACCCTTTTTCAGGACACTGGTGAGCTGTCTTGAGTATGCAGGAAGCATGAGATAATTTTTCTGTTCATTTCCAAGAAAAAAAACACAGAACTTCTCTTGCAACTGTGAAAATATTTTAAAATTACTTGGAAACTACAAAATGTTTTTAAATTATCTAAATAAATTTTAAATTGGTATAACGAGACCGTTTCATGGTAATTTGCCATGAGCCCAAAGTACTGACAAAGTGTGAATACAGCTCAGTGGCAGAATTCCCTTTGACTTCAGTCAGACCAGATTTTCATTACAAGGTTTTTATTTTAAAAATGCTAGGCCCTTTATTAAGCAAAATTAGAATTCCACTTGAAACTCATTGTGTAACATTATGCTAGTTAGTAATGTGCCTGGAAAGAGCATTCATTAGATAATACAGTAACAACAGTGAAATGTTCAGTGCAATATTCTTTACCTTTCCCTTACTTCCCCAAATTACCTTTAGAATACTTGTCAAAAAGACAGATGAGCCCATAAGGATAAAAATCATGAGTCCTGTGACTCTTTGCTCCCGGATTCCAAGAAATTTCGGCTGCTCCCCTGGAGCAGAGCACTCTGATTCCAATTTTAAGCTGTTCACATGGGAAATGGAGAGGACAGTGGCTGCAACAAACCATGGCAATCCCATAATAGAGCACACACCAAGCATCACTGCCACCATGAGTAGGTCGAGGTGGTATCCACATCCTTTCTGTTAAGAAAAGTAAGGATGGAAAAAAGATGTAAAATGACATCTGAATTCAGGAGAACGCTCCTGGCAGGCATTCCTAATGAACAGCTAGAGACAACTGAAAACTTGAGACTTGTAGGAAAAATAGAGCTTCCTTCTCTGTGTTATCCAGGCTGGGTCAGTAGGGATGCAGACTGGTTATCTCAGGGGAATTCCTACTGGGTCACACTCACTGCTCAATGTCACTGGACTCCTTCCAGTTGTGAGTTAAGTGTACCACAAATCCACTCTACGCTGAGTACCAAACAGCTTTCCTGCTTACAAAGTGGATACTGGTAAGACACTGGAAAATACATACATTTTCTGTTTTAACTAAGTCTCCTCTGTGGATAACAGTGAGAAGAACATCCAGCTGTGCTGCCAACTTCCCACAGATCTTACAAAGAGGTGGAAAAGTATGTATTTTTATTGCTCCCTACATAAAAATCCACAACATTTGCAAAGTCCCTTTATGCTAGAAGGGGCCATAAAACCACAGTGTTCCTTCTGAAGTTTTTTAAGATGGTAACCCATAACACACATTTTCCGTAACATAATTTTAAATAAGAGCAGATAGCTAGAAAATAAGATACATTAAATTAAAATATAAAATCTATGAAATTAAAACATTAAAATAAAATATAAAAAATTAAAATTAAATTAAAATATAAAAACTGCTTTATTGGTTTCCTTACTCAAACATAGCATCATAATATCCATAAGGAAAAGTCGATACAAAACCTTTGGGTTTGGATCACTTCTGTAGTGGTCAAATGCTACATAAATTTACCAACAGGTGGATAATGGATTGCTTTCAAGCACAAAACCCTTTGGCTGAATCTTAGATAAGATTAAACCCAATGACTACCCTCACTTGAAAAAGAAAAATGCATCAAGTTTGGTTCTATAGATATCTGCTACCATAGCTGAACCATAGCTGAGTGGGATATTTCACTTCAATTTTAGCAAGTATCCAGGACATCCTCACAGCTGCAAGCAGCAGCTGAGGCTATTTTCTTTTAAAAAGTCAGGTAGTTCGCCATCTCCACAAAACTTTGCAATATGGCAACAAACCAGTGTCATGGTCTGATGAAACAGCGATGTTCATGCAAACAATGTGAATATGTTGAACCATAATTTTGCCTGTAAACCCATGCAAATGCCTTTTGACATAAAAAAAGTAACTAAACTAAACTTGGAAGGGTTTGCTACAGAGACTGCCAAAAGCTGAAATGTGCACTATCCAGAATTTGCTATGGGAAGTATAAAAAAAGAGGGGAAAATGAGTTGGAAGCAAACAAATCATTTCTTTATGAAGACAACTTTTACTTCTAAAATGGGAAGCGTCTGGGTTTATGAAAATGTAAGCCACATATCAAAATGAAAATGCCATCTTATTTGCTTACATTATTTAAAAAGGGGGAAAAGTAAAGAAAATGAAGAGAATCAACTGTAGCAACCTTCCCTCACTCCCCAAAAGTGCTTATGAGTCTTATCTCCAAGACACATCTTGACAAACTCAGAGATGTGTCAAACACAGATATTAGTTACAGGCACAATGCACTCAAAGAAAGAGTTTAATTCTAAATCCTAACAGAGACACCTTTTTTTACCTTCTGACACATTTATGAGGAATGTATCTGCTAATGCATACAGAATCCGAGAGCATTTCCTCACATTCATACATGATCTGAGGAACCTGACATATGGGAAGAAAAGGAAGCATAGCAACAGGTGATGCTACACCAGACCCCAGCAAAACTAAAACGCAGCAAGACAAGGGGGCAGCCAGGAGGACCATCTGACTCCCAGATGCCAGTGCTGAAAAAACACATTCCAAAGCTTGGCAGCAAATTCCTGCATCTGTCAAGTTAACCACATGCAATGCTATGGATTGACATGAAGAGCCAGGCTGACAAAGAGGGCAAAAAAAGAACATATCAAATGTCACAATCATCCAAGAAGAGGCAATGCAAAGTGAAGGTTGCAAATGCATTTGCTAAAGCAACTTGGGATTGGATTGCTGCTTATTAAAAGTATGTCAAAAAAAAGCCTAAGCTTGCTGCATATACATGTACAGAAACCTGCTGCTAGATTTTGCCCAACAGTTTTTCAGAGGGGTGATGTCCCTTTTTCTCTCTCCATCTGTAGGCAACTAAAGTGTTAGAGAACAGAGCAGGAAGATGTCCTATGTTGTTTTAAGAACCCATTGTGCTCTAAGGCTCAGTTTTATTCTTCTCCCTCCTTCAACGTAGGAAGGGCATTAAAAAAAGGATGGGCAGAACCACAGAGAGCAGGATGAAGAGAAGGAAAAAAAACTTATATTATGAAATAACCCCTGAGTAGTTTTTAAAAATCCATCCAGTAGAACAATACTGTCAATACCTGAAGAGGCCATTAAGATTGTGGTTTTTAAGGAGACTATTAACTTGAAGGGAGTTTTTTCTAGTGAATGAATCCTTTTACTAAAGCACAGAAGGCATCACTTTCTTAACTCAGAATCTGTATTCCAAATAACATTCATAAAGTCCTCTGTCAGGCAGTGGATCACTGACACAAGGCACAGGTACCACACAGACCAACAAAGAAAAAAGCATAAAAATTTAAAGGGGTTCTATATAATATATTACAAACTAGTATACTAAAGTAGATGGATACACATTACATAATCTGAAGGAGAAAAAAACAGTGAAAGCATGAATTTTGACTGAATACCTTTAGTTTGTGTTCTTTTCTATTGATAATGACAGCTGTGATCTGCTGGTCCATAAAGATAAGGATAGTACAAAGCAGGGCTGGAATTACAGCAGCTATCACTGTCCACCAAGGATTCGGCCCCAGAGGAGTAATAAACCAGCCACGGTCATCTCTGGTGGGCTACAAAAACAGTCATGCATGGCCAGTCAGAGCTGTAGGGATTATTCACATTTCAATTTCACAAGAATACATACAAAACATTATTAGGATATTACTTCCTTTAAAACCAACCTATACAGAGCACTAAAAAACATACTAGACTTCCTCTGATGCCAAGCCAAGAAATTACATATAATAAAATATATAATAAAATCATCTGGATTATTACAGGTTACACTTGATACAGTAAACACAAAATTTGGGGGAAGCCCCAGAACATTACAGCAGTTTAGAATTTGGGTGATTCAAGCCCTGTTAATTTCTAAGAGGAAATAAACATTAAGAAGCATGAAAGAGCCTGATAGGAGAGGTTCACTTACATGATCCATAAATCAGAGAGGTTGCATAATTGCTTGTGAACACAAAAAATTTAAAATACAATCACTACTCCCTGATGATGATAATAAACAATCATAAACCCATCATAGTAGATTATTTTGCAAAATGATAAAGCAGTGCAATTTATCAACAACTTACCTTAAAAGCATTTGGAACCTGAAGTTTTGGTGATGGAATTCCAATGGCATAGTCAATTAAAACCATGGACAAAATAGTGAGAAAGACAGCAAAGTCGCTGACAACAGAGCGTACCTACGATTATTGAGAGAAATGACAATTTTAACTAAAACATTCAGCTATGACTTAAGATTTTTCATCACTGTTTTAGTACAGCTTAGAGTTTTAGCTTACAGCTAAAACCATGCTTATTCTGACACGAGTTTCTAACAGAGAAAAGATGCCCTGTCTACTTCACCAGCAGTTAAGTGAATTTGCAATGCAGATGGAATTCATACTTGGACATGACTAATGGCAAATTTGGAATTGGAATAAGGGCACACACCTTAGTAGGGAAGTACCGGCTGGTTTTGAACTGTTTCAGGGTGGATGAGAGCGTTACTGTGGAGAAGAACAGGATGACAGACCAGAAGAGGACGTCTGGAACGTAAGGGCCATGATGACCACAGGCTCGCCCAACAAACTCGCCATGAAACTTTTTACATTCCTATCAGGGAGAGAAAAATAGTGTTGTTCTAAAAATTATCCATGCTTACACTAACATTTTCTTCCCAATCTCTCTCCTAAATTGTATTACTAGAAATAGTAAAACAGTTTCTAGATATTTATTCTTTTAAAACTTAAAACTCACTAGTCTGCATGGAAAATTCCAAAAGGAATCTCTTTTTTAGCCATATTACACGATGAAGTCACTAAGACATACCATAAAGTCATTAACATAAAAACCGGGTTTCTTCAAACTCAGCAAGTACACTGATTTATTTTCTGTGTACAAATACAGATTTACACTTACTAACACTCTCCAAGTGTGGAAAGCAAAGTTCAAAAGGCACAAAGAGAAAGTCTGCTCCTGGTGCATTCTCAAGAACTGCTTTTTTTGTTTTCCCTTCACAGCCCCAGCAATTGAAGAAAAAGCTATCTAGGGTGCGTGGCATTGGGCTAAAAGGAGCCCAATACATTTAATACCACACGGGGGCAGCACATCCTGTAAATTGTCTTTCTCTTAAAATAAGAGCTGATAAAATGCCCGAAAACCCTAAATATTTAACATCAATTATATTTAATATAATTTATTATCAATATGCAGATACAGTAGAAAGCATTTCCAGAACTTCTTGACTGCTATCCTTAGTCATCTAAAATAGTAAAGAGTAGCTCTAGAAATGTGAGCTACCAGCTCTGGACTCAGAATCCTTTCCTTCTTCCCAATCCGTCCACACAGAACAGAAAGAAAAAGAAAATGAAAAATGAAATGCAGCACCAAGTATCAGGGATTCCAGGAAAAATGAAATGCAGCAGCAAGTATCAGGGATTCCAGGAAGAAACATCCTGCCAGATCAGGAACTTTTTGTATTAAATCAAGTGTGTCATTGGCTCGTCACACTCACTGCACAATTATCCTGATATGGGAAATTTTGGCTTTGAAAAAAGATTGTCTTGGAAAAAACCACAATTGCTATTTGATGACTGTGAGACAAAGGAGCACAAGGTTTTTTATACTGCTATAGCAGTAAACTTGGGATGAAGTTGATCATATGCCTCATGAACAGGATTTTGTCACCATCAAAATCCTCTTCACACTTGTCCAAAATCCTCTTCATACTTGGTCCAAAATCCTTTGCTCACACTTGGTTTGTCTTGAAAGCAAAAAATAATCATTGGGTTTTAAGAGAGAATGAGAATCCAGAACTTCAGAAACTTGAAACATTTCAGCTAGATATAAGAAGATATGAGCAGTAAAAGAGACATAATGGGGTGAGTCTGACCAAATATTTACAGACAGCAATGTCTAATCTCTTACTGAAGTTCTCTAGAGCAGAAGTTTCTTGATGGTGCTTGCAAGAACCAAAGACACAAAAGTACAAAAAAAATCAGTTATTTCTTTGACAACTACAGGGACTTATGGGAAAAGTTGGTCAGTTATACTGCTACCTATGTAAACTCAAGTTTTGGTAATAAGATTTCACAAAAGTTTTGAAGGGTTTTATATAATGCAGCCAGTCTTTTACATTTATAGTTAAAACAAAATCTGTTATTTTAAATCTCCTCAGCTGCAAATGTACTCTGAAAAACACTGTCAGAGATCTGAGAAAGTGAGAGGAGGAGTCTGCTCCTGCACAGATGCTCTTAGAGTGTGCTGCAATTTTGAGAATATTCATTCTGGACTGCTGGAATCCCTCAGGCCAGCAGTTCTCAACTTTCTTTCTGCTGTTGCCACACCAACAGAGTTGAGGAGCAGTCCCTGCTCAGAGGAAGGCATGGAAGCAAGACAGAGCAGCCATGAAAGACAGCTCTAACTTAAAACGAGTTCTTCTGCATTCCTGCCTTTGGAAAAAAAAAAAAAAAAAGAACAGTATCTTCTGGAGACAGTCCACTGGATTGGCTTTTAAGTATTCAATTTGATTATGCCTGTGATTTGGTTAATTCAGTTATCTCTTCAGTCTGGTGTCTTTTGCACTCAATTCTCTTTGACTGTGTAATGAAATGATCCCTTTGCAGGAAAAAGTGGTGGCCCAATCTCAACACAACATTTTAATCAAGCTGTAGATGTCACTTTGAAAAAGGCAAACTTGAATTATAAAATCCTTTAAACATAGAAAAGTGTACTCTTAAGAAATTTGTTACACATTCATGCAAGCTCCACTAAACAGTAGCTTTATCCCCTTCCTCCCCTGGGAAAAGAAATTACAGAACTTAAGGTGAGAAAAAAGTGGTCATTGAAGAGAAATTTTCTCCCCATCCTCTTTTTTATAGCCTGAACTACTGCAAGAGTGTTTTAGGGGAAATAAATACTTCTGATTCTTTCTACACAAGGGAACTTTGGTTTTGCCATCTGGCAGAATTTAGGACAAATTCATTGTCATTTGACATGTTTGACTTAATCTCAGCCAAGCTCTTGTGCTAGTGTGTCAAGAAGGTTCCAAAGCAGGGCATAAAATGCACACACTTGCTGCAAAAAGCTTACAGAATGAGATAACACTATAAAGTTCATGTTAATTTTTGTTAAGTATCTTTTATTATTTATTTGAACAAATATGAGCAGGAAAATTGGTAATTTTTAAAATATTTTTGTTGCAGTAAGATGGACAGACTTATTTATGCCTATGCCTTTATTTATTAAGTTCCCAAATTTACTTACTGACACAGTTAGGTTCCCCCATGGCACATCAGATGCAGATATATTGTAGTCCTGCCAGTATTGTAAGGTTTTATTGCTAGGATGCTCTGGTTCCACACAATTGCATCTGAAAAGAAATATATTTTTCCTTAATAATGAAAGATATATCAGATATTAATCTAAATTATCATTTTTAAGATACATTGAAATTATGCTCTACATTGGCAGATAATTTTAGTTCAAATGAGTTCAGTAAATGCATGCTTTGAAGCAGTTTGTAGTTCAGTAGCCAGTGCTATTACTGGAGCATCATTTGCTGTGAGGTGCAAATGCATATATAGTATGTAACGTGACATATTCCAACCACTGATCACATTAACTTTTACCACCTGTCTTCTTCCTCATCTATTGATACTTCTGAGCACAGTTTGAAATACTGAGAATATGCTGGCCCTGTTCCACCCTCTTACACCTAACACTTCTCTACATGGACATTAGGTGCTATGTACAGCTCCAGGCTGATCCATTTCCCAAATAACAAACTCTCCGTGTCCTCTTTCTTTCCTAGATGGAAACATGCCTTTGCATGCAAAATTGCCCAACTACCCAGTCAGCTGTCAGGGCTCTGAATGTCAGGATCACCAGCACAAAAAGCTCTCTGAACTCTGTGTGCCTTGTTTCTCCTTTCCCAGAGCTGCTGTAAAAGCACACTTTTCATTCTAAATTGTGTATTTTAACACGCAAAATGTGACGAGGCAGTGTAGGAGGACAATAAGTAATTTAAAAATAAGTAATTTAAAATCAAAATGAAATCTTTAAAGCCTCTGAAGGAACTGTGGGAGGCTTTTTCTTTGACAAAGCCTTCAAAACATCCAGGATACTCTGTAGGATCCAAGATGTCAAGTGTGCTTTGCAATACGCTTTAAATTAATTCTACTTTAATAATCTATAGCACCATCGAGTCTGCTAGTATTTTAATGTGCTTATGATGGCTTTAAATAAATTGTGTACTCTCTGATAAAGTTTTCAGGAGTAGCTGGGGACAGGATAACATCTGACTATCGCGCGCAGAGCCACTGAACATAAACTGCATTACAGCTGTAGCAGAATATCAGTTTATTCACTTACCTATGCTATCTATTTTTTATGTGACTGTTTATCTTTCCACAAAACGACAATACTCAACTAGATTTGTATGATCTTCTATATATTAAATTCTACCATCTACACCATGAGGACACAACACTGACATTCTATTTCAATTACAATACTATACATGTGACAACAGCTGCATTTAATACATAGAGAAGAAAAGATGCAGGTTGTCTTTGTGCAATTCCTTGATTGTATTTTAAATGCAGCCATTTCCAAAAGAAAGAGAAAACCCCCACAGCCCATGAACAAAAAGGAAAAAAAAAAAAGAAAAAAAGCAACTGCATTCGGAGAAGTAGAGGGCCTGAGCCAAAAGTCCTTGACTGGATCTTTCAAACATATTTAATATGCTTTGGATCAGGCCCTAAGTGCAGCATGAATGCGTGTTCAATGCGTAGTCCAAGGTATTACGGGATGGGTTAAATGAAGCACATCACTACCAGTGAGCTACAGGAGCAGCATAAAGCCAACAAACAGTATGGCTACATCATGTATTGCAAGGGAGTATTGGATGCTCATGCAGCAGTCAGAGGTGGCTGTGAGAGGTTACTGCTGTTTTCTGGGAGCACAGGAGCTCCTGGCCCTGTGTCCATCGCCGATCCAGCTAGCCGGACGCCGGGCCAGGCTTTGACTACAGCAGGCCAGGCTGCTCACTCAGACACTTCCTCACTAGAAGGGGAGACTGTGCCTGTCACCAGCACTACAGGGTACAGCTACACTTGCTGCAAACTGCAAAATTACATTTTTAGGTTAGAGGAGCCAACATTCCTATTTTCTCAGAAATGTGACACTTGAAGCTATAGTTTCATACAGCTCAGGTAAATCACCTTCAGATGAGATAATCTGTTTATTTCTATAGCAATATCACTTTCCTCCTGCACAGCATTCCAGTCTGGTCTTTACCAAGTTTCACAGGCATTTAGCAATAGCCGACTGATGATCAGCAAATAAGGGACTTGTGCAAACTACACCCACACAGACAAAAGTCACCCTGCACAGTGCTTCTGTCACTGAATGGGGGCAGAGCTAGGCCCTAACTGTGGAGACCAGATCCTGTTTCTACTCAGAAGACCATTCAAACAATGATCTCAGTGTTTTGATATACACAACATTGCATTGCTTTCAATATTGTACGTGTTTTGGCAACACTGACATTTTGATGTGAGATTGTATCATGGTATTACTGTCTTCCAGCATCCCACTAATTGCTTAACATTATAGAACTGTGAGATAGCAAAACATTCCCTGTCCATCCCAGAAAACACAAATGAAGGTACCATTCAGTGCCAAAACATAAAAACATTATCTACCAAAATGTGTTGTTTCATAACAGATTTAATTGCTTCAATGATAACTATTTCCCAATGTAACTGACCTTCAAGGATAATCTCACATTAATGAAATAATGCTTTCTACTTTAATATTTTTAGTATTTTAGTCTCTTTCATTGCCATTTTTACTTTGAGTAGTTTTGCCAGAAAATGCAAAACACGCTGAATAGTTAACACTAACACATCCTTCTATTTTCCTGATAAAATATTACTCAGAATGCTGGAATAAGCAAAAAAAAAATTTCCTCTTGGGAGTTCAAATGCCCTTACATTCTTGTAAAGTTGTTTGAAGTGCTGAGCACTTGCCCACGACAAGGGATCTGTGGGGAGTTTATGGTATTACCAAATGAGTTATAGACTATACAAACACCTGTATGTATTTTCTAAGAAACCTTTTCATCTTTAAATACAGTACCAACTTAGCAGTGTACTCTTGTGTCTTTGAATGATAAGTCAGCAATCATCTTCCTGATACTAAAGGATTCAAAAGGATTCTTTTGAGTCTCTTTCATCCTGGTTAGAATAAAGGCAGGGAACAATCTGACACTGGTTGTGGTAACAAAAGCATAGGTGTCACTATGGGGGGGCAATTTTTGCTGCCAATCTCAACACATCCATTCCATCACACTGATGACAGAAATAAATAATTTTTCATCTTTACCCTTTTGGATATAGCAAGATATTCTGATCTCCTGGTAGCAATTCGGATGTTTAGCATGGGTGAATGTACACTCCATGGTGTCTGTGATATCCATGATGAGTGACCACATATGAGAGGATCTTCCTTGACTCATGCCTTTGTTTTCAAAGCAGCTGGAGGCTGAGAGATCTAAAGTGGCACTAGATACCCAGTCACAGGCCCCTACCTGTATTTAAAATGTCCGTATTTTGCAGCTAGACAGGTATCAGTGGAGCTTGTTTTCTTTCATGGTATTTAAAAATCTAATACAGCCTAATAGAAAGCGGATTACACTTCTGAGGTAGGTAAATAAACCATTTCAGACAAGATAGTCTTCAGACAACTCAGAACTGTTCTAAGATGAGAACTGACAAAATGAGAATGTAACAAAGAATAACCTGAACCTGCTAGCTAGAAACAATAACCAGAGCAAGGAGTCTTTATTGCCCATACACCTTCCAAAGCACCCATGAAATCTCAGGTAAATCAGAATGGAGAACAAAAGTAGATTAGAAATAAAAAAAATTAGGACTGCATGACAGACAGGTATCCCCTGGAGCCTGTACCTCTCTCCCTTTTATAGGAGGATCAAAACTTCACCTTAATCTTCAGCACCAATTCAACTGTAACATATAGGCCATATAAGGTCACTCCCCACTTCCCTTCTTTGTCCCCCCTAACTCCCCACAATTTCATAGTTGTTTCAGGGTTTGGTTCATAAGTCTCAGTCTCGTTCCTCATTAATAAGAGGCAGCCATCCTAACTTTGCTGCATGCAACATCTACAACTTGTCCTGTTTTCAGAGAGCAGAGCTAGGATCCCACAAGAGCAACTTCAGAAAATCTCAGACAACTATCAATGGTCTTTGTTCCACAAAAGGAACAGTTATTACTATCCTTAATAGCACCAAAAAGACTGTCTGTATTATCCCTCTTTCTCTGGACTATGGGAAAGGAAATATTAGTTAGCAAATTAAAATCCTGTCACTTTATATGTCAAGCTGGGGAATATTTTCCCCCTCCTTTTTAGATTAGCAATAAAATACAAATATCATGGCTGCTCAAACACTAAAACGTTCTTTACTAAAACCACTTGCATCCTGACTCTAATTTTCTGTTAACTGAAAAACAAGAAACTTATTTCCTACATTTATTTTTTCACTTCAAATTAACCTCAGTCTAGTCTTTCCAATCCTTACAATATCCACCTCTTACTCCTGCTTCTTCAGATTGCTTCTTCACCATTTTCTTCTCTTTACTCTGTCATGCATGCTCTGCTCCCTACACAGACTTTAATGTAGCATGGTGCCTGTCCAGCTTCAAAAAAGAGCCTCAGACAGGGTTTTTGTGAGTAAATAAACCACACTTAAACAGCGCAGCTCCCGTTGAAAGCCCCATGGCCATTCATCCCACGGCAGTTGCCATTTTTCAGCAGCGGGTTTTCAAAACTAGGAGGCGCTTACTATCAATGATTTTCTAAAGTTCAACAGGCATTGGTCTGGATCTCTTATTTTCCAGCATTTACTTATTGTATGCTCCACCTATTTGTACTAGATAAGGATATGAGCTATAGAAGATGCAACTGCACCTTCTTCCTGATTAGTCAATGTACCGTTTCCCCTTGCTAGAAGGGAAAAATGCCTTTCTGGCTCACTTAAGATAGCCTGAGAATGAGATTTGCTCTATATGAATATGTATAATACTTAAAAAACTGCAGGCAAGTATGACAAATAAGTTGCAAAATGTGCTTGTTTAAACAATATGTCTCACTGAATATCAGAGCACATATTTGGTAGTATGAGTAGGAAGGTTTTCCCCTAGCACAGAGGACGCTCTGAGCGTGCTGTGCACTGATCACATAACAGAGACAGAGGAAGATGACAGCATGAAATGAAAGATATCACCAGGTTTGTTTTCAAAGTAAGGTATAGGTATTCTTTATGTTGCATTTACAAAGCTGAAGTAT